AACAGTGGAAGAAAGAGTTACCTAGCAGCACTGCATATCATCTCTTTGGGAACTTCTCCTCAAAGAAAGACAGAAGAACCTGAATCCTGCCTAGAGGTTGAGAAGAAAAAATACTCAGGGTATGTATCATAGAAAAGGAGACTGCAGCCATTGCAGTGGGTCCACATATATATGGTTAATTATAGTAATGTAACAGAGATAAGCTTTTACATCATATGTTCTCACATACATGCAAACCATTTTATAAATGAAAAAATTCACTATAAGAAATAAATGTTCTAGCAAAAGATTTTTCAACTCTTACATTTTCCAACTCTCTGATGAAGAATTATTTTAAGCCTCATGTTGTGCTAAAGAGGAAATAAATTTACTGGCATAAACTGCTCAGGCATTCAAGCAGTTGTTACAATGTAAAGGAGATAATATTAAAAGTGAATCGGTATGATAAAATCCTGAGTAAATCAAGTTCTAATAAACAACAATAAGAAATACTTGTATAGCCCACATATTACTTCAAAAAATTAAAATGGAAAAAAATGGGAGAAGTGGTTTAAAAGTTCAAGAGAACATGCTCTGCCTCTGTGGCTGCACATTCAATTACAAGTTCTGTACCACTTTTAATGCAGTTATCATATAAGAGGATGCTGCACAAGACTTGTAGAGATATTCACTCAACTGTGGCAGCATAGGTTACACAAAAAAAAAAAAAAAAAAAGATGGAGGGGAGAGTATTTGAGTATTTAGCTGCCAAAGAAGCCTGTGTGTGGCAATCTGAAGACTCATCCTGAACCCCTCTGAATAGTCTGCACATTTTTCCATGACAAAGGAACAGACTGCCTCTCAAAGCACCTTTCCTCATACCCCAAAGAGCTGCTCTCAAATTAGTTTTATATCTATGGAGAAAGAGAAAATATGAGAGTCCTCACTAGTTCCTGCGCATCAAGGACAAAAGTCTTCACACACCTCTTCCTTTTTCTCACCAGCTGCAATACCAATTCAGGAGAAGAAAAAAAAAGTAAACAAGTTGAAGAGATAGCAACCTGAAACTAGATGCTCAGATACTTATTACGAAGTTAGTTTTAGATAGCACATCCGTGACCTGTTCCTATAATACTTTATTACAGCTGCTTCTGCCTGTGACAAGAACACACTGTCCTCATCTTCAAAATAAGTAGTGCTTCTTGAGTTAACAAGTCTAGTCTACCAGTTTGAAGATCAGAACTTATGCGGGCAAAGTAATATGAGAAAAATATCCATATTGTTAACTCTCTCCATTTCAACTTTCATTAAGAGGTTTTTTTCATGCTGTTCTACCAATCTGATGTGGACAGAATGAAAAGAGTGATTTTGCGGGGAGTCATCAAGAAAATACACCTTAATTTTCTTACAAGGTTTAATTCCTCTTAATAGGCAAGAACATATATCAATTCAGCCCCAGGATCCCTTTAACCATTAAAAAAATAACAACTTTATTAGATATATTTAGAAAACATGGCAGATAATTGAAATTGTTTTCTAGATAACCATGAATTAGTATGAAAGAGAAGTTATTAATGGACACAACTAGCACACGCTTGATGTCCAAGAGATTTTGAGGTAAAAATAGGCAGAGATAAGTCTGGCATCAGATTTACCAGTGGCTACCCATCCTTGGGGTAAGGTGAGCATTTATCTCATACTTTAATGACTGCAGTGAAACCATTAGGACAAAAAAATTAAGATCTCAGCTTGATCCCATCCTACTAGTTTCACGTAAGTGATTCTTATATTAGTGATAAATTTCCACTGATTCCACTGAAGTTATTTTCTTTATACATAGTTACTAGATCAGATTCAAGTCCTTATTACTAAACCAGAACTCTAACATTATCATATGAGCCTCAGGTCTCTACAGAGATGCATACCCTTCTGATCAACTATGAAGAGTATTTTGCCTTTTTTTTTTTTCCCCTCAAAGGTCTATTGTAAAATATTAAAGCAAAAAAAAAAAAAAAACAAACCTGCCTTATTTTTAATTGCATAAAAAAGAACTTTGTTAATTCAGTGAATGCCTACTCAGGCTCTAAAGAATTCGTAGAATTCAACCATAGTTCTTTGTAGAGAACAACAAGTCCAATCATTCTGGTTGCATTATACAAAGTTCCAGGAATTCTTTGACGTGAAAGAACTTAAATACATTTTCTCTGGTATATGGAAATAATATTTGATTTAAAGATATATCCCACAGAAGTCAGTCTTGACAAAACTGAACTTAGCTATAAAGAAGTATTTTCACCTTATTTAACCCCTTTTGCGACTTCTTCATGACCAATTCAACTGGCTTCTTGCCCCTGAACTACGATTCATGCACAAGTTCTTTGTATGAGTAAGAAGATACATAGCACTGATAGAAGAAGGAGCCCCAACAAAAACCTTACCGAATTTTTAGAAATCAGTACTTTTGATTAAATAAATTATCATGGAGTGAGGAATCAAAATATGTTTGTGTTGGAAACTGGTCAGATCATTCTTGGACTCCCTAAACCTCAAGCAACATATGCTAACAAAGAAAGAAATGGTTAATACAATGAATGTAAAATCAATACTTATTTTACCAAACTCCTCATTCTGAAGCTTTTAAAAATAATATGAGTAGTTAAGTATTTTATTCTTGCCATTTGCACGTATAACAAAGATTATCTAAGGATATAGGTGCTTCCAAATTAAGCTAGTATTTGTTTTAATTGCAATTCAGCAATAATGAAAGTAATGCCTTCCAGAGCTCTTTTTCCAATAGCCTTGTTACTCTAATACTAGAGCCTGGCCCATAAAACAAAGTACCATCTCCAAAGTCAGTGAGCGACAGCTGCAACCACACCAGGGTTTGAGGTATTGTAACTTCTCTTTATATCCTAGACTAAACACAAAACTATGTGTTTGCAGTGACAACAAATACTGAGTTTGACTTTTGATAAAAATGTGGGGAACTTGAAGAAAAACACGAGAAAACTAGCAATCAAAGTTCAACACAACCTGTCATTCTACTCAGCAACTGAAACCAAAGCAACACTAAATGCAGTAAACCAGTTTCAAATCATGAGAAGGAGCTGGAAGCTTAGTATAGTAACTTTCTTATACTGATTCATAAAGCTTTCTTAATTTGGTATTCATGGAAAAATCATCCATTTACTTCAGAACTGATCATTTTTATTAGTTTGTCCACATTAACAATCTATAAGAAACATACTATGAAATGGATCAAAAACAGCCTCAAAATCTAGCTTCTCCAGAACATAAATATCCTTTGTCTATAAGCAGTAAAAACATACAGCTGCTTGTTAAAACAAAAGATATTAATGCATTACTACTTGTTATGCAACAGGTTATAACCATTCTTGTGACCAGCTCTAAATACCAGACACAATAGAATTGTTCACTAAAGCTCAGCCCATTTCTGCGTGTACTTTTTTATTCCAGGAAAATTATACAGTGAAATTATTCTGGAAACAAGTCTATGCATAATACATAGATGTAGAAGGATTTGTGCACATGGAAAATGAATGAGAGTTCAGTTCTCAGACTGAAATTACGTTGGCTTCTGGTTGTGTAAGCTGTGTATCTTCAATGAGGTTGCAGTAATGCCGGAAGCATTTCCACATGAATTCAGTCCTTATTCTACCCAAATGAACTGCATTATTTATTTACTTACTTACTTTACGAAAGGCTCTCAGAAGAGATTTCGCATTCAATAAAATTCTAGGCCTCTTCCAGCCTTCCCCCAGTTAAAAATATTCTATCACTAGAATTATTGTACGTAAGTCTTAAATACCTTCTGTTCCTAGTGAGATCATAGTCCTTTAGATATAAGACTCTTTTACCCATTAAATGGGTTTTTTTATTAAAAGTGCTCTAATTTGTTTCACTTATTTCTTTTAAATACTAATGCTAAAGCCTTGCGTGAAAAGAAAGAAGAATGAAAACATTTTACAGGAATCTTTTACATTTGTGGGCTGACAGTGAAAGATAAGTATGCATAGTGCCTTACTGCCAGAGGACATGACTCAGCCTTGCTGAAAACAGACTTGAGTGACTGGATTTTCTAAATTTGAGAGTGCTAAGCAAAAAAAGATTATTTTAACCTATTTCACAAAACAGTCTATTTGGACCCATAGAGCTAAATTTATAGAAGAGTCAGCTAAGGATTTCCCATAGCAGAAACTGAGAAAATTCAGACTTCCATTGGTGTTCCAAAACAGTAACAGGCACAAGTACTTTATTCATCCATCTATGTTAGAATCATCTTTTAATAACATCATCACCTTTTCCTATAGATCTTTGGTCATTATTATAATGTTTCCTGTAAATTGCTTAATGCAGTTCTTGAAAACATTTGGATTTTCCCAAATTAAGTTTGTTCAAGTTTCCCAGGGCTATAGTAATAAAAAGCAGCATCACAAAGCAGAGAAACCATCCTTTAGTTGGTATAGTAATTCTGAAGAGTTATCAAACCAACTGGGAATATAAAGGAAACAGTATATACAAAAATATACAAACAGTTAGTAAGACCCTTCCAACATTAGTGTAGGATTGTATCTTACAAAAGGTTAATTACAACTTTGTCCATTCCGGTTTTAGAATAAAACTCTTGGACTTTTCTTCCTTTCTGTTGGAAAGTAAAAGTACACTTAGATATTCTAGGCAGAGAATTAATATAATTTCCGCTAGTTGCGCCTCCAAATGACAAATCTTTTCCCTTCATATTCAGAGCCAAACAATTATAAACTTTGTTTACTTTTCTGTTTCACTCTTTAGTTACAATTTTAATCAGCATTAGGCATGTGTATCTCTACCATCAGCTATTTTGCAGCAGATACATTGAGCTCTAGAGGTAAAATTACAAAATATTCTTAATAGCAATGGCCCCTGATCTGTTACAAAAAAAACAAACTTCCATCTCTAAGCAACTGATCTCTTAGCAACAAGAAGCACCTGCATAAAAGATGCCACAGCGAGTGATCACCAGAAAACCTATTTAGATCTTTAAAAGGAGCACATCAGTAACAAAGATAGCACTCTTCACTGGTAAAAAATAAAGAAAAAACAAGAGGACACAGGTAAGTTTTTAATTCATATTCTAGTATTTTTCTTCAAACAATGTGAGTAGGACACTACAGATATGATTTTTATTTTGGTTTTGAGTGGGAAGTACACTTTCTGGAGCTGCTTTGATCTGAGTTACTATGATTATCTTTGTGTAAATTATATGTTGTCACTTTCTAAATAGAGTTTTGGGGGTTTCTTAGCAGAAAATCTGCAGGTCTTAAACCAAATTCTTGGTATTAAAATAACAATAAGGTGTTATCTGTTTTGTAACTATTCTACAAAGTTTCTTTTAAAAAAAAATGGCACAATGTTCTTGCAGAATAGTCACCCTTAGAAATTGTTCACTTCATTCAACATTTCAAACTGTTAATGTTATATCAAGAAATACTGAAACTTTTTACGTTTTATAGATACATGCTCCACTGACTAGAAAAAGCAAACCTGTCCCGTGTTTCTGTGGCCTCCGATTTCATTCTATCTACTCTTAAGTGGATTTTGCTCCCTTCACTACCTTTCATGCAAAGATGTGTACCATGACTGTCTAAGGTAGAATACATAGCATGGAATGCACACTGCCAACTGTTGATGATGTATAGCAACATAGAACTAGTTGGAAATTGAGTCAATTTGGAGAAACCAACATTTTCAAGCATCACTGTCACAGCAAGGAAAGAATTGGATTATGAGTGAGGTTAAAAAAAGGTCATCAGGTAGAACAAGTCTGGAATTGACCTAGGAAATTTGTTTATTCTGTCCTAGCTTGATGTCTCTCAGTGCTTGCTCTGGAAGAGTGTCATCTTTCTTTAAGCTACTACAACTTGGTTAATAATTATTTTTGATGAATAGTCATTTGCAGGGAAAATGGTTTGAGAACAGTCATACATTCTTCCTTAGTTTTGTTTTTTCCAATACCCAAATAACTAACTTTTCTTCAGAGTTAATTTACATACTTTGATAGAATATTTGGTATTTAAAGCCAGAAAAAAAAAAAATCAAAAATTTAATTTACTTCTCTTACAAAGTGGTCCTTCTGTTTCAACTTTTTGCTTAAGTTGGTCAAAGTATTTGCAAGCAATAAAAGTACTACAGCAGAGACATAATTATGGCAGACAGAGCTGCCTTCTATCTGCCAAATTAGAAACAAAACCATCTATCCAGTAGTAATAGCAAACCGATAGTAGCTACATGCAAAAATCCTTCCTCATATACGTCTGCTTTGCCATAGTCACAACAAGGAAGTCTGGTACAAAGTGGGTTAGATAGAAATTTCAGTTGTCCAATCACAACTCATTTTCTGGTAGTTTTGAATTAATTAGAGGTTCTGGTGTTCTAAGGAAACTTTGAGGTAGACAGGCAGTAAATACATACCAATACTGCAGAAGTTTGCATATCTCTACAGCTCTTTTTGATGGCTTACAAGCACCAACATACCTATTCTGCTTCAGAAAATGTACATTTCAGATGAAACCCTTTTACCATCTAATGCAGATAATGCTTTTCATGGACATTATGTTGGTTCCTAAGCAACAATGAGACCTTTTGTGAAAGGTACTAAAACTGGCAAGTTAATTTTCCAAATCATACATCAGACTGCAATTAAAAGCTCAGAAGAGGACATAGTCCAAATTCTAATTTCAGATCATTATTCTTCTGAAAGAAAAATCACCATAATTACAGATTGTTCAGAAAGCAGAAACTTTTATTTTACAGTCATTTGGGCAGCACATAGTGTACCTTTCCTCACACATCCATGTTGTATACATAGCTACAAGAAAATAGTATGGACACTGGCCAGAAAGAAGGAGAGAGATGACTACCAATTTTTTAGTTATACAGAGCAGGATATCACTTCAAGTCTTGCTCACTACAAGCAATCATGGTTTTACAACTGAATAGTTATTTCCATACTTTAGTGGAAAGTGATTTTTCCAGATGTAAGTATTCATCCTCTGAAGATCAATTTAGACATCTAAAGTAACTAGCAATTCCTAGAAGGATACATTTGAATCAAGACTTTCAGAACACCAGAACTTTCAGTGGTTAGTCTCAAAAACAACAAGCCTGACAGTATATTATAAATACTTTATTTTGGAAGCTCACTAAGCTCCACAATCAATAGCAACATCAAAAGCTCATTTAGCCATTTCAGCAATAATTTATTATCTTGGCCAGTACTTGGTTATATGTCAGCAACATCAGGTCTTTGGCATTAAGGATCACTAAAAGGATCCAGTAACTTCTTTGGAATATTTAAAGGCAGGACTTACAGCTCCATTGTACGAGAAAAAACATTTATATAAATCAGAAAAAGAGCAGCCTATAGGATACTTATTTGACTATCACCTTGCAGAAATTACAGCTCCAAGCTCATTACCATAATTTCAAATAGCTCCTCCGTGATATCTAAATATGTGTATAAATGACTCTGATACGTGGCAACTTCAGGTTTAACCCTAAAGATATTCCAGTAGATGACCTGGAACAACAGGCACAAAGATGGTAAGTTCACAAAATGAAGGTTGCAGCCACCACGTACAAGAGGCATTGCTTTTACTACAGTTACCCAAATAAATAGTATTATTCAAATAGAAGTCCTACATTCAGAAAAGATATTTTTAATATGTTTGCTTCCCTGTCAATGAGTTCCATCTGCATTGACCAGTTAAGTCCCAGACACATGCTAGTACTAGCTGGTGTTTAGAAAACTAATTGACCAAACAGGCTCCAAACAACAGGAATGTCAGCTTCTACAACAGTACCGCAACTCAAACCTTTACACTTTGCAGATGTAGGGTACGCTTCAAGTAGAAGGGGTGACAAGAAATTGAGTTCTTCAGTCACTGAGGCAGATAAGAAAAGCCAAGTATTGTTTACAGTTGTGTATGAGCTCCTGGTGGCCACCACTAATATAGAACAAATATGTAGTAGCATTTTAGAAGTAACGCTGAAGGCAGCTGACAGAACTTAAAAACTCGGAGAAACATGCTCTAGGGATAGAGCCAATTCAGCTCTGAAACAAAGTAACACTGTAAAAGGAAGGCTCACTAAAATTAAGAAAGCCACAATTCCAAGTAACAGCAGAGGCATCAAATATCACAACCTTTCTTATCTCACAGTACAGACATATTCTTTCAACACCACAAAATCATGGATATGTTTTGCATTTCTGTCTTACTTGCCCTCTGACACAATGTTAGGGTCTCACCTCCTCCTTTACTTCTTGAGAGCCCATTAAGATTGCCAGGATGATCATTATTAAATTCCTACTTCCAAGATTCTGCTGAAAGCTGTCACCTCTTCCTTCCCTCTTCCTCCTCCTCTAACCTAAACAGCAGATAAATTTACAAGTGTCGTTTAGATTAGACTTCATAGTAAACAAGTGGTAAAGGATTATTTTACAAGGCTGTAAGAATCATTCAACATTGCTAGAATACATTTCCATAGTAATAAGATGTGATAGACCTTTACAACTACACAAATTCTAGCCTACTGACTTGAAATGGCTGGAAAAAGTAACTATTATCCAGTGTATTCATACCCTAGTGTTCACATTTTACCATAATTATCATTCTTTTGAGTTGCAGATGATTGAATTAAAAGTAGGAGACAGACCTAAACAAGCCAGAGTGCTTTCAAAAGCAGAGTAATATAAACACCTAGCTTTAAAAAGGCTACTCTGCACATTGTAATTGCAAGTGAAACCATCTCTAATAAGACAGATGTCATCTGGAGCAAAGGATCAGATCGTTAAAGAACAGATTCAGAGAAAGTAAAAAAATTAATAAGAAAAAATATTATAAACAAAGAATGTCACAACAAGAGTAACACAATATCAGATAACCAATAAATTGTGATGAAATCTCTCCGTGACATCTCCATTGCATCCTGAGAGAATTACAGCATTAGAAGAGACCACAGAATGTCAGGGAACAATTTCCAGGGTAGACACTAAATAAACATACACAATCTGATGCTTACAGAATAATAGTACAGCTCAGTTTACAAGGAATAGGAAGCACTCTCAAGTTTAAAAAAATATTTTTAAACCCCACAGACTTTCAAGGTAACATGACAGTCTTCTCTATCAAGGCTTATGTGACGTACGCTGTATACCTGATGATAATTATCCACTTCAAATTAATTGATTATTTAAAAGGAATCTAACCACAAGACAAAAAGGTAGATTTTTAGTGGTTCTTACAATGGGTTCCATGCAAATGCAACTACTTTTACAGTAGTTCCACATGTGACTTCTTATTCAACAGCTAGGAAAAGAATTTCTGACTTTGCAATAAAATCCACAGTTTGAAGGCAGTGTTAAAATGGTTGTATGGAACTTCTTCAGCACAAGCTCAATTAAAGAGATCTGACTTGCAGTTAAGAGTCAGAGACTGCTTTCATCCTATGTTAAGTGCTATAATCCCAATACAGCAAGATAGTTATGTGCCTAAAACTAATTATAAACAACTATTTTATTTGTCAAAAGGTATTGTGTTCCTTTTACATTATATCAACATTGTCAAATGCTGTGCTGGAATGGGAGCAGATCTGTAAAACAAGAGTCAGTGATGATCCGCTCCCTACACTATACACATTTCTCAGGAGTTCACTTTAATATAGATCTGAAGTGGTTTTGACATTTGAATCTCCTTTAAATTCTGGTGTGAGACACAGCTTTGGAATACATTACCTGATTTAATTAAAACAGATCCCAGTTTGCATGCTCCAAGATTGCTCTGTGATACATACTGAAGCATGGGAATGGGAATAATATGAAGGTTTGCTATCAAAACACATCCCTGATACAAACTAAAACACCAGTGCAGACACCACGAGCCATTGTCCTCAGGGACTATTGCACGTTCAGGCAGCATTCACAGGAGAAATACAAGAAAATCACTACTTGCCTAGTTAGACATTAGCCTTCTAGTTGTGAAAGGCACGACAAAAGCTATCTGCATACTTACATGTAGAAGGTTGAGTCTTTTACAGTCTGCATGAAACCATCATGAAAACTGTAGAATCAGCTTCCAGGAAGAGAAGAAGGCTATGACATTTTATCTGGGAAAATAAAGACTTACTGGGCTCATATAAGCAAATAGGTTTATTTTTGTGTTAAATCAGTCTATTTGAAATTTTACAATTTTTTTCCAAACTGTTTACTTAAACCTAGGTCAGTTGCTTCAGATGCTGCTAATATTGGCCCCTACTGTTTGGGGATTTATAACAAGTAGCAATTTGTTTTTTCCCCGCCAATGTCTGTCCTGACAGATGAACCACTACAGAGGAAAGAATTCCAGCACTCAAGAACGGTCCTTCAAGAGTTTTCAGGCAGTTTTATGAGCTCCTTCTCAAAAGCATCAGAAAATTTCAGCTCCGGTTCTATAATATGATAAATAATTTTCTCTTTTACCAGCACAGTCATTAAGTACAAAGCTCTAACTGGCAGAAAAGGGGACAACACAATTGTCATTTAGATATATAGACTTTTTTCTTTACTGTGGACCCTGTTATCATTTATCATATCACCTTTCGTAAGAAAGGGTTTAACAGAACCTAGAATTTTCTGAGAGTGCTTTGTAGTCAAGATTTGAGGATCAGTAATCTAAAGGGCCCTCTGCTGGCAGATGCTTTCCCAGCTCTTAAGATCCACAATTACTGTCAGGTCAGGCAGGCTGTGCACATTTATCTACTTTGTCACAAAAGCACTTCCTTATCCTAAGTCTCTTTCCTCTCATTATTTGATTTTAAAAGGGTTTTTGTCCCATCTCTGTCCCCCCTCCACCATATGAGTAACAATCAGAACCAAGAAATCCCTCTGATCAGACACATACCTCAACCAGCTGCAAGGAAAGGAAAATTAACTCTAGAAGATTTCAAGACAAAATGAGCAAAAACAGTGAAATCTTCTTTCATGCACAATGGGCACTCTAGCTTTGTTCAACTTCTAAGTTTCTTCAGACTATTCAGTGATTACTTACTATCAAAATTTACTTGGCTGAATTTTTACTAGGAGTTATTTACTTCATGGACAATTCTTTTAAAAAATACAGTGGGTACAAGCAGTTTGGCTGAAATATTTTTAATGTGAATTTTTCATGGTCCAGTTGGCTTTTGCAATAAAAAAATAATTAGAAATGCAAACCCTGAAAGTCTGCTTCAATCATACTCACTGAAATGAGGCAAAGAACTTTTAAATACAAGAAATGTCAGGAGCCACTTTGACTAAAAATAAGATTGCTTCACATCAGTTTGAGAGTATAAAAAGGATTCAATTCTAATACAGTGCCTTCAATATCATTTAGATACACGAGAGCATGATCCAGGATATAAAAATTCTAAATCTTACAACAAGGTGCACACTGATATATTGGATGTCATATCCAGCAATAAAGATTCTATTCTTTTACCAAAAAAAAATAAAAGAAAATAAAATAAAAAATTATGAAGTTGAGGTAATCTAAACCCAAAAACCTAATCCATTGCAATCTGTATATTTTGAAAAGACAGACACCTGCTTCCATTTCTCTGTCAATAAAAAGATAAGCTTCAGCTGTGAACAACTAAAAACTGAGCAAGATCAAAACTCAGGGTTGATCTTTAGAAAATAAAAGGAGGGGACTCAAGCTTGCAAAGTACACCACACAAACATAACACCACCTTGAACTATAGCAGAGCTTAACCTACAGATATAATATTCATAGATACACATTTGTACGTATAGATGTGTTTATTTCATACCACTCAAATGCATAACAACCTACATACTTCTCTTCATAGGGAATATGAGGCAGAGAAACTACTGTACAGACACACCAGAATGTCTTGGAGATGAAAAAAACAACCAAAAACAACGAACATCAGAGCCTATCGGTGGCAATGGAGTACAAAGATGAAGTTCATCCAGATCCAGAGAGAAAGCAACAAAAAAGTGAAACTATATGCCCTAAGTGTAGTTATTTCCTTTTATAACATTATAAGCTCATACAGTAAAAGGGAATGAAACTAATAAAAGTATTCACGTACACATGCTGCAGGCATGCTTTTGTTGTGGTAATGAAAAGTACTCAAGGAAATTTAAAACTAGCATATTTACTTCTACTGAGCAAACATCATTAGTGTGGAACAGTACATTAGTGAAATTAATAAATGCCATTACACGATAAAAATGCTTGTGATTGCAAAGACATTTTTCATAACATTCACGACAGTACAACAGTCATGCTCTCATGAGAGGTGTACTGCTAGCTATTGGAATAGCAGATGTGTTTTTAAAAGGTCGCCTGGCATATTGGGTCACAGTCATTTTGGATCACAACAATACCAAGAACAATATGCAAGATTTGCATAGCAATCATCCAAAATACTGGAGTGTTGCATGCACCTGTAAGGTTTGAAGCCACTGCTTGCTCCCCTCTCTGGGGTTTTGCCTGTACTCTATAGATTTTTTACTTCAACCATAAATACCAATCATCTTACTAGAAAGCATCTATCACATTCTTGGCTTATTGTAATATAACTATAGCACTGACAGTAACTACAAAGTAAGCTGTACTTCCTTCTGTGATGTGAGTCCACAGCACAAGATAGACAAGAAAGCACTTGCTGAAAAGCAAACTGTAACAAAAAGCTTTCTATTCAAGTAAATACACCCTTCAATTCTGAAATACTGTTGCAGGAAGGAACAAAGCAAATCTACTCTTAATTATATTCAGAGTAGAATTAAGAAGGTTTTTTATTAATAAATTACTGTGCAGATGCAACCAGTATCTTTCTGTGGTTATGTGAGTTCTCATTCATAGCATAACATCTTCCTTCTCAGGTACAATCACTTCTCATATTTTATGACTTAAAGTTAAAAACATGCAAAACAACTTTGAAGGAATTCTGCTGCTGCTCCTATGGATAACAGACCTGTCCATTTGCCTGTTTTTTCTTTCCTGTGCCAAGTGTTGGTTACTGCCTGAGGAAAAATATGGTACCAGACAATCCATGATCCTGTTTGCTATTGCACACACTATATTTTTCAAAGTATTCAACAGAAGAACCATAAAGAAATACAGTGCATTGTATTACCCTCAAAAGGTGACAATTAAAAAAAAAATACATTGCTTCAAACAAAAACCTGGGGTACACTCTACCTACATCATGAAAAACTAATATAGTTATTCTGGAAATTCAAGGACTCTGGCACTACAGGCATGCAGGAAGTAAAAAGGCTAATTAACAGAGATAAAACTTGCAAGTGAACTCATTCAATACTTCCACGTGTGCTGAAAGTTTAATTTCTTGTGTTTTGGTTAGAAATTTGCAAGGAGTAAACCTCAGTATTGGCCAGCCAAGTCAGTATCACAGATAAGAAGTCTGTCAGCCAAAGTATCCAAAACTATGCTTCAATATCAAGGTCAGAAAAGCTTTGTTATTTCCAAGCAAAAAGAGTGTCTGCTGCATGTCTGTTTCGACTTGTGATGTAGCTTGTCCTGGCAAGCAGTCCAGGCAGTTACTCTCATTATAAAATAAAGCTACCTCTCCAGAGCTAATTTGCTCAGTTACAAGACCTACGAAGGGGCTGAGAGGTACCAACTAAAGCTGAATGTATCTTTGAGCTTTGAAAAACTCTGCCTCTTTCCCCTTTCTCTCTCTCTAAAGCAAAGCCGAATCTCTTGGACAAGATGGTACTGGAAACTCTGAATCCAATGCACTACATCACCAGCCTAGTACCAGATACGATGCCAGTGGCCACAGTGCCCCTACTCATTCTCATGTGCTTTCTCTTTCTAATATGGAATCATGAAGAAACTTCATCAATACCAGGTAAATTAACTTTAGCTATAGTAACACCTAAAATCTGTCTGAGAATTTTTTTCTTTTGTTTCTCAAATTTAGGTGAGAAAATAATGCTGAATAATGATTGTACACCAACAAAATTTACTAAGAGGCAGTTTAAATAATACAACTTTTTAAAATAACTGTTAAAAGAAATCAGGCTCTGTTTAACCTCAGAACTTCCATAATGAACCTGGCTTGGCTATATAAATATATGACATTTAGTTTTCTGCTTTTTTATGTATATGCTAGAACGATGTAATACCACTTTACAAACTCTAGATTTTCATGTACATTATAAATTTCTACTTTTTACGTGTTTTAAGTTTAAAGCTTTCTAAATTATCTTTACTAGAAACAAACCATTAGCTAGGAAATCATTCAGATTTCAGTAGATTATCAATTTTTCTCTCCATGTTTGGCACTGAAGACCCTCCAGAACAGAAAAACATCAAATGGTTTCCCTTTCAGAGGGCCCCTTCTGTTATGTTTTGAGGGCTTATGGTAGACATTACTGATTCAGCCTATTTTTCATTAGATGCAGTACAACGATCTAATGCATGAGTGAGAACAGTGTCCACAGCTCAGGAGGACGTATGACAGGAATAATTCTAAAACAATGCAGTGGTACCTGAACGAAATTCTGAAAAAAGATCATTGCCAAACATCCTTCAATATGCATTCTCTTTCAATGTTTGATTGGATCAATAAGAAGATAGAACTAAATTAATACACTTTAAGTTAACAGGTATTTAAATAATCTAGGTTATTGCAGTTCCTATTAGTAAATGGTGGAGCCATAAGTAACTTCTACATTTTCAAACAGTATGCAAAAGATTTCTAAGTACTTAATTTTTATAGCGTTGGATTTATATTTTACACACAAAAAGAGCAAATTAAGCTTTCCCTGAGGAAGAAAACTTCCTTTAAAAGTAATTAAAGGCAAAGTCTCTCCTGCTGTCTCTACTTTCTCCTTCTTGTTGTAAGAGGTAAATTTGGTGCTGAGTTAGGAAGGATTTACTTGAGAACCTTGCTGACTAAACGCTTATTAATCCATTCTTAGCTCCTATTTAAGCATGTTTTCATAATTTCACAGCAAAGTACTTTCTCCTTTAAATGCCTGCTTTCTCACTCTAGTATTAATAACTTTGAGAAACATAATTAATTATGTTTATTTACAGAAAAAGGATATTGACTTTTTTAAGTGTTACTATGATACTTCAACAGAAAAATCACTCAAAGGATTTGTTAAAATCACAACTTAATTAACCATGTGCATTTTTCCTAGATAATTTCTTCTTCTTTCTGATATCTAGCCATTGTCTCTCCAAATATAAGCAATCTCAAGGCAGCAATTTGAAGTTGCACAAATAATAAATGAATGTCATTTGTTGCATGTACTTTGAATGGACTACAGGCTTCCATAGATATTAAGTGAGGCTTCAACAACATAGATTCAAGTTTCCCTGAGACAGAACTTCAGAAAAGGATTGTGTATGTGAACTGCCCAATGCAGACCTTGACTGTCATGTTAAAAAGCTCTTTTCAAAAGGCTGATGCTCAGAGGTATGTTCTTGTTAGCAAGCACTGCTGAGATCAAACTTTTCTTACTTTATTTCTCAGGGCCAGGATACTGTATGGGAATCGGTCCCCTCATTTCACATTGGAGATTTCTCTGGATGGGAGTAGGTAAAGCCTGCAACTACTACAATAAGACATATGGAGAATTTGTGAGAGTTTGGATCAGCGGTGAAGAAACATTTATAATTAGCAAGTAAATCCTTATTTTCTACCCTTAATAATATGAAGAGATGCTAAATATTTTTACAGTCTCTTTCCTACTTTTTTTTCCAAAGTAGAGTTGAATTTATTACTTTCAAAAATTATCCTAACATAAATCTTTTACTTCCTGCTGTTCACAGACTTTTTTTCTAATCTTTTATTTCTTTAAAGACTCTACTATTGAAGTCTATGTGAATTCTCTCATTTTCTTTGTGGAAAGGAAGATTAAGCACTGTGGCTTAATCCTAGAAATTGCTTACTGTCTCTTTTATTACTCCATTTAGTATTAGGATCACATACTATACAGGAACCTAGAATAACTGCAATGCAGGATTAAGCCAAATTTTAGTTTCATGTGTTCTTAAGTTTCCCCTTAAAATGGGAGTAATGCTTGAAGATTATGGTTCAATTCAGAAAGTTAATTAAGCAAATGTAGCATTACAGGATTATGAGTAACTCCACTACAGTTAATAGGATTTCTCATAGACTTTGATTATACACGGTATTAAACATAATGCTAAACCACGGTCTATCATTTTATTAGCTACAGTGGATGGTTGCTTTCTTCTTACATTGGATCCTCTGCATGCTTATGAGTTATGCCATGAAAAAAAAAAAGGGCAGTACAATGTTTACCATATGTAGTCAATAAAGAATCACAACTGTTTTATTAGCAATATCAATCCATCCATACTCAGCTTTCATTATGTAAAAGCTTTTGAAGGAAAACATAGTTTAGAGGACTACCACAGGATTTGCCACATGAAGGCAAGTCAGTTTCATCTCTTGTCTTTACCTCTGTAAAAAGAGGTAATCATGACAGAAAAACTACTTACATTCCTATCCCACATAGATGTTGTAAATATCAACTAATATGCTATAGTGTTTTGGTAATGTGAAATGTTACGAACTGTTATTGCTTACACTTTCTGAACTTGCAATTCATCAGAAACAAATCAGGAGTGCTGATAAACAGTGCCACAGCTGCACCAGACTTCACAGTCAATACATCACTTTTCTTCAGACATGTTTTTGTGCTTAAAAGCATTCACAGTACATAGAGAACTAGTACTTAACTTTTTTAAAAAAACAATAATGTAGAATAAAGTTTTCAGTGGATCATAAATTCACCACAAAACTAAACATAACCCGAATTCTGTATACTATATATATACTAATAATATACTATTTCCACCAATGTCATCTGAATTTTTACCACCAAATCCAATAATACTCAGATGCTAATGCACAGAGAGAAGGACTTGCAGTCTTGGTTGAAACAGATGTTGTCTTTTGAAGGACTTCATTAAATAGTTTCATAAGGAAAGTCTACTTATACAAGGTCACATATCAAAATCCTTCCTTAAAACATTATTACATGTCTCCTGTGCAGATGTGTGGAACAGAGGAAGCAAAATGAGCAACCTGCACCTTTCCATTCCTGGGGGCAGCTGTCATAATTCAATACCATCTTTTCAGGTTCATAAAAATACAGATTTCATTGACATGCAAAAAAACCTTTAAGGCAATTAGAAAAAAAAAATCAAGCAGATGTGAGGGAGTGTAGGAAAGGGAGAATATGCCAAGTTCTTTGGAAGGCTTGACCTGCAGACACACTTCTCCCTGTTTTTATTCCAACCCTTAATTCATGTTTATCTATTTGTACCATATAGCATCCCACTATTAACTTTACCTCTGGTCATGCAAAACTGTGGTGAAAACCCAGCACTGTCAAAGCCAATAACAAAAATCCTATTTACTTTTGCCTAACTGAAAAAACAAACTAATCCATGCAATAAGACTAGGATTTGGTCCATAGAGCATGCTACATAGTAAAGAAAGCAGGACATTGTTTCATTTCAATCTCTGTTTTGATTTTCTTTTTTGTTGTTGTTGTTGGATTTAATTTGATCAGGTTTTCATCACGTCAACATCTCTAGAATGCTAGCTCCCTCTAAAGGAAATTATATCTTAAAGTAATAATGGTGCTCACAATCTGTTTGCCAGCACATGTAAACAAACCTTGTCAACTGTAAAAAAAATTATACATATCATGGATTTCCCTAACATTTCTATTTAGGAATATTTATCCCACACATATCACTGTATTATGATGCTGCATATTTAAATGATGCATGTATATTTATGCTTTCTGTGTGGATCTGCTAGGAAGGACCAAATAGCTACAGTATAGCTGTAATTTATTACACATCATGATGAAATTCTCAGCTGCTAAAATACTTTACACCTCATCTTCTGAAATATCTTACATTGGTCATTGCCTGAGTGCATCTGATACATCTACATGTTTCTAGGTATACACACTATACAGATTAAAATCTTTCTGTAACCATTTTCATTTTAACTGAAAAATAGTTTTAAATCTCAATAGCATACATTATTGCTCAATTATACATTCTGAAGGCATTTATGATCAATTTTTGTAATTGTGTAAAAGGAACAATATTTAATGTCAAGCATTGTACTTCCTGGTAAATTAAGAATGGAAGTCAGCACTTCCGAGCAACTATAACACGTCAGAATAAAAATTCTGTGTACAATCTATGAAACAATATTTTCGTTTTGGACTTTTTTTTCTTCCCCTGTTTCTTTTCCAGATCCTCAAGTGTGTTCCACGTAATGAAACATTGGCATTATGTTTCTCGATTTGGGAGCAAGCTTGGATTACAGTGCATTGGCATGTATGAAAATGGCATCATATTTAATAACAACCCAGCACACTGGAAAGAAATTCGACCCTTTTTCACCAAAGGTAAATCACTGTGCATTAATACACTGCATCACTGTAGCACACAGTGTATCTTTTCTTAAATCCCTTGCATATTTAAATTACAGAAATCTGTTTTCTATATATCCACAGAAATATTTTATTGCACATGTTCTTTCACACTTATCCTGCTTGGTATGCTATTTTAAATGGTCCTGAAGTAGTTTTGCAGATTCTTAATCTCATCCAATTAAAACAAAATTAAATTATGCCCACAAGCCACATTTAAATGTTTCTATGTTTCAAGTCCAACATTTACATTAGCTCAACCAGCACTTCCAGAAATGTAGTTGGCTGTTCCTATGCCAGCCTTCCCTAAGTTCAAAGACTTATCTGTCTTGCTGTAATTGAAGTTGGGGGGGAAGGAAAAAAAGTGCTTTAGTTTCAAAATTAATTTAGAAGATCTGCACAGAACTATTTGTTAATCCCTTTTAATATGCTAGGAATCAACATAGTAACAGAGAAAAAGATTTAAGTAGTTAATATCACTAGGTTGAAATCAAATAAGAAATAACATAAACTCCAATGCTACTATTTTACGAGTCTGCAATTTTTTGATTCACTTTTCTGCACACTGAAAAATTTTCAGTATCTGCATATCATTAGAATTAGCTACTTCCAATGATCTTGCAGCCTTCCTAACAAAACTGCCACACTCATTCTGCAGGCTCCACAGTTCAGAAAACCTTCTCAACAGCTGAGGCTGCAGTAGTCTACAAAAGTGATTCCAGAACCTGAAAATGGACATAAAGCAATCAAAAATAAATTCATTATCTGTTGGTTTAAATTTTCTGTGTTATTTTGTTGATATATCTGTGTTCCTATATGATACTTGGGCCTTTTCTATGTGATTTTGCTATTGAAAAATATCAGCAATTTTATATAGGTTTCTACTTATTCCTAGAACTACCGGTTCTCTCTACTTACAAAATGGACCTTCTCTCTTCTCAATTACAAACATACAACCCCTCTCAACACATATTTGATAGAAAGTATCCTTGAGGTAGTTACACCAATTCTTGTATGGAAAAGTACAAGATCTTGAGGCAAGATTTCCAAAGTAATTTTAAAAATTATCTGAATCCATTCCAGCTGGAGCCTATCAAAATCCAACTGAATTACATAGCAATGGAACTGACCACTGCTTTTGGTTGCTTTTGAATTCTCAAAATACAACAAATGTATTGTAACACTGTCTCCACTATTCATAGGTGGACAGATTAAGGTAGGCTAGCACCCAGCATACTGCCAAGCTAGCCTTCAGCATGTCTCCAACAGTGACATTACAGGTTGCCAGTAGCTTACTGCAAAGCTACCATGCTTTTAAGAGCACCTAGAAGTTACGTTTTTCAGAGGTTTCCATCATTCTCCCCACAAATCCTCTTCCCTGCCCAGGGTCATTGCAATCAAACAAGACAGGACATACACAGTGCCTGTAATGCAGATGAGGATGTGGATACTCTCCCATGCAGAAAGGTAGCACAACAAGTGATGCCAAATATCGTTCTTTAACATGGTAGGAACCTAGCATAAAACATGTCTGAGATACAAAGTGGCTGGATGCAAGGGAAGTTTGGGTTTTGAATTCATTGCCCTTTTAACTCAAAATGCTTACATTTTTCTTTCAAAAGATGATAAATCAGTGAGTTTTAGAACAATTTTATACCAGTTGCTCACATGATAATGTTCTATATTTTACTGACACCATTGTCACCAATTGATGTGATAAATAAGGTATGAAAGTTAACCAATCATTTGATCATTTTGCACATGTATTTCAGCTCTGTCTGGTCCTGGTCTTGTGCGTATGATAGCAATTTGTGTTGAATCAACAATTGATCACCTGGACAAACTAGAGGAAGTAACCACTGAAGTAGGAAACATTAATGTGTTGAATCTTATGAGACGGATCATGCTTGACACATCTAACAAGCTTTTTCTTGGGATCCCGTTGGATGGTACTAACAGCTTTATTTTTACACTTTATGATGGATCTAAAGTGTATGTCCAAGGAAAACTCATTAATATCACTCAGCAATTTTGTTTCAGAAAATGGAGCAAAACCAGACTCTTATATCACCATATAATTAATTGAAATTGATTTGAGTGATTTTAGTTAAAAAGGAGAATTTTTAATTTAATTAAGTAAACATTTATCCTGTTACACTAATCTAGTAAATAGTACCATTTAAAGAGATTTTTTTTAATGTACTGAGTTGGTACAATCCCAATATTATATGCATGTAGGAATCTGAAATCTTTTCATCAAACTAAATGGTTGTCTTGAAAAGCTCACCAGACAATTTATGTCTTCTGCGATTTCTTCATGCCCAAATCCATATGACAGAAATAACATTATCGGGATGTATAAATCATCCCATTTCAATATGCTGTAAGAGTTCTGCTTCTGCTCTCGTGTGAGAGACTATATGGCTCTGGTTGACACACCACTATCTCCTTTTAGCTATCTACCAAGAGTTTTTACAAAGATCTATACCTTTTCTACAGTGTGCTACAAATGTTTCCTAATGCTCTCTACCACATATTAAAACCTCTTGCTTTTCAAATTCCCTTGACCTTAGTTGGAGTAGGGAACAGGTCCTTATTATTAATTTTTCTGTCAAATTTGTGCTATTTGACTATTGAGATTTATATTTTATTCTGCTTTTTTATAACGTTTATTTTCAGAACATGCCATTGTGCTTAAGATTCAGAACTACTTTGATGCTTGGCAAGCACTTTTATTAAAGCCCGACATCTTTTTCAAGATTTCTTGGCTGTGCAAGAAATATGAAGAGGCAGTGTAAGTACCAATAGTTTTACAAGTCATTTGCATAAGATTCTTTCTGTCTCAGAAGATTTCCTTGATATTTTCCTCTGCCTTTTAGAAAATAAACTGTGAAACTTGCAAAGCTGGCTGTCTGAAATCCCCTATCTGCAGATCGAAGATGATCAGCAGAACAAGAGTTGCCACTGATGCTACAAGTGGCTGATCTCAGGGGATGATTTAAAGCCCTTCTTTATTCAGACCTAGTTTACTCACCAAAATATTAGTTAATGCAAGCTCAAAATGTGAAACAATTGAAATCACTGGTTCGGTTCAGACAAGGAAAAGCCATCATAGGGGGTGAAGATACATTTGCTATCTAGTCAAGGGCAGTCAAATAGTAGGCTACAGTTCATCAAAACAAGAAAACCCGTCTCGATTCATAGCACTGTGCCAGAAGAGTTAACCCCTGTGCATAATTCTATTCATCGGTGCCCTCAACATGCATTTTTGAGTCAACAGTTGATTTTTTAGTTAAAACTTGGTGCTCAGCATAATAATCCATTTCAAGGTTTTTATTCCTAAATAAGGAGCAAATACATTTTGCGGTCTCCCTCTTTGCAAAAATACAAAATGCCTCTTCCATTTTTATGATCTCATTTGCTGTCTTCTGCCAAAAGAGGACTGGCTATAAAAAGAACTGGCAATCAGTTTGTTAATTTTGGATTTGGATTCCATCTAGTGAGAGAAACCACTACTTATGAAGCATGTGTAATAAATTATTTTGATTGTGCTATATAACATGAAGGCCTTCAGGGAAAGATGGAGGTTCATCTAAAGTAATTAACAACTCTTATGAACTAGACAGAAGATTTACCTTCTCTAACATTTGCTGGCCAGTTTTATTATGACACTGATTAGTGCTTTATCCTGTGATTTCAATAACAGCTAACTATGGTGGCCCAGTTGTTACTAGAAAGCCCCTGCAGGCAGAAAGGACCGTTTGCTATTTCTAATACATACAACATGTTATAAATAATGAGAAATTTATCAAGTTTGAAGTTTTAAGCACATTTACCCCTACAAACCTGAATTTCTACCCCAAAGATAACAAATACAAATGGAAAGCCTGAGGATTTAATTTAAAAACTTTTCAAAATACTTTTTAAAAATAATTGCCTTTGAATCTATAGCTAATATAAAATCTCAAATAAAATTATAAAAACTGTTAGACTTTGCTGTTTTCCACCACTGAAATACAAATTGTTGATACATTATACTGACTATTTAGATATAAATAATTTAGATCAACTCTACCTTCAAGGTAGTACAATTTTTCTAACATTTATGTACATATTTCTAACAAATATCCTCTGATAATTTTTTATTCACTGATAAAATACAGTATAAAATAGAAAAAATAAACAAATTCTTTGGAAATGTTAATAAATCTTTTAAAATTCTATTCATTAATAGCATATACCGACACACTTTCACCCTTTTCAGTCTTTCCTATTAAAAAAAAGGGGGGGGTTGATTTCAGTTCAAATTAACAAGCAATTATTTAATAAGAAATAATAGGAAAATACAACTTCCCTTAGTATTACTGCTTCTGGTGAGAAACATACAACCACTCTTAAGAATACTTAATTTCTGCCATTCTTAGATGTTTTTATTGGTGTAATCTCTATGCTTTTAATCATATCCTAGTGTATACTAAAAGTCTGCAGATATTTATCAGTATTGGATTTTATCTGTTTTCAGCAAGGATCTGAAAGGAGCAATGGAAATCTTAATAGAACAGAAACGACAAAAGCTTTCCACTGTTGAAAAGTTGGATGAACATATGGATTTTGCATCCCAGCTGATTTTCGCACAGGTATTGGCAATGTACTCAAAATATGGCTAACTTTGATTTTTCTGACATTCTCCTGCCACTAACAACACAGGCTTTGCAATTTAAACTCCATGCATCTATCTGAAAGTCATGTCATCATAAAGGGATAGAAATTACTTGATTCTAAGGAGTCCCTAACATCCCTAAAATGAGTAGTTGCATCTTCAGGAACAGGTGCTTGTCCAATTTTTTTTTTCCACAGCTTAAACAACACCCTTAAAAAACTCTTGCATCCATCCCTGAATGTCCTCCATTTTTTTTTCTAATCCTTGTATTTTCTCTTGATGCATTGCCTTTTGTTTGCAAAGGCTTTAAATGCTGTGTAAATCCTATCTTGGATAATCTCTGACAGCTCACAGACCCTGTGGGGAAAGGCAATAGATCAATAAAAACCTCAGTTAAGAACAAGCTCTTGCTTTTCTGTAATATAATACACCTCCATCAAAACATGACTTTTCTGGTTTTCTCTGAAAGACAAAAAATAAATGCTATTTAACATATGAGGTAGAAAGACTGTAAAGACTTTTTTACTTTTGTTTAAAGCAGATATTCTAGATCCTTCCCATTCTACTGCTATAGGACCTTTGTTGGCATAAGAGGTCAGAAATCAAAATTTTCTGCAAAATTTCCATTTTTTTCAGAACAGAGGGGATCTGACTGCCGAGAATGTGAACCAGTGTGTGCTGGAGATGATGATTGCTGCTCCTGATACTCTATCTGTGACTCTCTTCTTTATGCTAATACTGATTGCAGAGCACCCCACAGTGGAAGAGGAGATGATGAGAGAAATTGAAACTGTTATGGGTAAGCAGGACCTGCAAAGTCAGTGTTGTGGGAATATTATTTTGCTTCAGTTGTGGTCCTATTTCTATTATTCAAAAGCTGAAAATGCTAGAGTACTTTCTTCTGACAGAAGCATTTACCATAAAATATATTAACTACCATTATATGTAAAAGATTCTATTCAAGATCAAATGAAAGAAGATGAGCAACTTTTAAGATAAATTCAAATAGGAATAATCAGAATTGACAATCTGTTAGAAAGAATGTGCTATATTCAGTTCTCAGCAACAGCAGTGCAAATCAGCACTCACTTCATAAATTCCACTGAAATTATTTTCCATTTACCTTGAAATAGCAAAAGGGGACACTCATTTCAAATACTTCTAATCACCAGTATTTCTCAGTGTATATATAGAACCTAAGTTTCACTAAGGCTGCAGAAAGGAAAGATTAGAGAAAATTAAAATTATATTCTGCTTTCATCCATTTTTATATCAAACTGGCCTCCTCTTTAAGTACTAATTAATAACCACTGAAAACACAATCAAGATATTCCAAATTCGTATTCTTCCTTTTCCCTAGGCTTCATTTGAAGCCTGACACTAACTAATATAGAAACTAACTTCATCCACTCCTATTCAACATTTACTTCTGTTCAGTTAAACACTGGAAAGTGCATAACGCGTCCTTTACATTTTTTCAAAGTTACTTATATAAAACATATTTTATTGCCCTCATGAGAGTTGACTACTAACTTACTCATCTTCCCTATTTTGGATAGCCTTGATTCCTAAGGCAGTAGAACGTGGTTGTCTTTTCCTTAAGCAAATGACCAGCTGAAGTAGCAAAGCTGCCTTTTGTCTTAAAAATCTACCACTTCCGTGGTTAGCCTGTAGTTATTGAACTGCTTGTGGCTTGAAAGTTAAAGTAAGGCTCCCACAGGCCGTACATTGTGGCACCAATATTGCTGCTGATGGAATCATGCTGGTAACTGAAATAGTCAGCTAACAGTTGGACCTAGCTGTACATCCAGCCAAATCCAATCAAAGGTGAAAATTTAAGATCCCTACAAAGTTATCTCCCATCTGCAGACTATTCCTAGATTCCCTTTGCTGTCAGCTCAGAAGATTGCTTTGCTGTGTCTTGTTGCTTTCAGTCATACAAAATTCTAGACTTCCTGAGTTTTGTCACTGACAAGAAAGCAGAACAAAGACTCCTCATGTATTAAGAAGAAGATAAGGTGAGAAGATCATAAATTAATAAATTAATAAACTAGGATTTATGCTGATGAACAATATACCAGATTTCCCAAATATGTAAGGCTACATAAAACTACTTAGAAGCTGTTGGATACTTTCTACCATTTCAGGAACCGAGAATCTTCCAAAACTGTTTTGGTATTTGTACAATAAAGCTATTAAATTCATAACCAATTTCTTCACCATCTGTTTTATTCCTCAAGGTGACAGAGACATACAGAGTGATGACATGCCAAATTTAAAAATCGTGGAAAATTTTATTTATGAGAGCATGAGATACCAGCCAGTTGTGGACTTAATCATGCGAAAAGCTTTACAAGATGATGTAATTGATGGCTATCCTGTGAAAAAGGGGACAAACATTATTCTCAATATTGGACGTATGCATAAGCTTGAATTCTTCCCAAAGCCGAATGAGTTTTCTCTTGAAAATTTTGAGAAAAATGTAAGTTTTCTACCTTATTTTGTACAGGAAATTGAGTATTATTTATCGACAATGTATCTTCCTCCTATTTCAATTAAGGTCTCTGTGACCATAAGACTATTATCCCTTTGTCTAACTGCCAAGTTAGCCTGCTTATTAGTACTATTATTCTTAAAGCTAGGCAGATATTTTCCAATCAAAGTGCCTTTTAATTTTAAAAAAAATATTAGATTGAAAACAAAGTTTTCCCAGACATCTTAATTTTTATTAAAAACTACTGATGTAATCAAAGGCACATGCAGTTTCCATTATATCCCCTAACACTGGACAAAATAAAGAGGCTTTAGGGAGACAGAGCCATGCAAGCAGTACAACACAGAGCTGAGGCCATGTGAGGATTCTCTGGAGAGGTGAAGCAGCACGTTAACTCCTGAGAGACTGAGAATCTAGCACCCATTGTCTTTTTTTTTTTTTTAATTCCTAAATAAACAACATTTATAGACAAAAATAGAAATCCTAAGTTTTAACCAACTCAATACTGCAAATGTGGACTAATTCAGTCCCAGCACAGCATTTCAATTTCATTTATATTCTGACTCCCAAAAGAACTAGAATTTTCTTCAGTCTGCATTACTGAGTCCTGTATCAAAAGCTATATGTGAATTTTTGCCCTACTTGTAATTTTCTACTTTTGTAAATCATCCTTCAGATTACTTACTTTTGTTTAGACCTCTGTTCTTCTGATTACTGATTAAACAAACTGTACTGGTTCAGCAACAATCATGTTGAGGGATTAAAACTGCATTGAAAGAAAATAGACTGACTCTGTGGCACATTTGACTCCTTGTTTTTCACTGTTAACCAGTGAAGATGGAAGTGGAAGATACTGTGACAGAGAGCACAAAGTATGAAATATTAAGGTTTGGTTAGCACTCCTGTAAGGGAATTAGAAAGATCTCTGGAATAATTAGCTGTACAAGAGTGGAGGGTATAATTAACTTAGTCCTATGAAGGCAATGTCAGCTGCAGAACATTAGCCTTACTATCATAGATACACACGGTTTCCTGGAATTCAAGTTTTCTCTTACATTTTCTAGGGGCTTGTAAAATATTAAGGTTGAATGAGGTTGAAGCTAAAGGGTGAATGTTTTCTACAACTGTAATAGTTTTTATTTTGTCTAACTAGAAAAGTTAAGAAATAATGTTGTTACCAGGTAAAACTTTTTTCTTTTGAGCTGTTAGCAGCTGCACACATAAGGGTCCACAGATAGTAATTTCAGTAAAAAAATAAATACATGACCTATTTTGATACAACAAAAATGTCTGAAAAATTAATTAAGAAAATAAATAAATAAAAGATACAAATGCTCAAGTCAGAAACATACCTCTAAATTTTATATTTTTTCCTATCAAAAAATCTAGGAGTACTGTGTATACCACACACTCACCAATGAGCTCTACACAACCTGGCTAACATTTTTAAATTGCTGGTTGATTACTCGTACCAAACTCGGCACACAGTTCTAAAAACAACAACTCAAGAAAAAAGTCATTATAGAAAATTCAAGAAGAAAGTTAAGTTTCTTGAAATAACTATTCACTGTGAATAGTTTTCATTTTGCCACACATTATTTTGATTCTAATTATTTCTATCAAAATGGATTTCTTGCTCATTTTGTAAGTACACTTTGCTACTAAAAATATTTCCCCTCAATCAAATATTTAACCCCACATTTTCTATCTGACATGATGCATTCTTTTTGCCACATAATTATTCTAGCAGCCACAATTTTCATAGTTCTCTAAGTGAATAGCAATCCACACCATTATTTATTATAAGATAGCATTATTAGAATCTAAACGTTTTTTCCAGGCTGTGCATTTGCCATTTTGCTGTACTGCCAGCTGCTGTACTTGCTCTGTATTATAAACACTTGTATTCACCTATAGTATTTGTCTATAATTTTTCAAAAAGCACAGCTCAGTTTATCTTAAAGATTAAATGAAACATTTTTCTCAGTCTGAAAATGAGAAAATAAGACATTTTTTCTAGACAATGTAAAGCAACCTTTTCTAGTCTAATCTTGGATTAAGCAGGAAGTCAGAACACAGCTAATATCTTACTTTTTTAAAAATTACACAGATGAAGAAAAATAATTTCTTTATAGTCAAACTTGCTTTTTCTTACTCACAAGAAGTACCTTTGTACCTCATTAGCAGTGCTATTCATGCTGTTGGGACCATTTTGGATAACTGATCTATTCAATGTCAATAAAAGTAGCAGAAGCTGTCTGTGCATTCTTCAACAGTCCCAGGAATCCTGCATTTCAAATTTTAGTTAATAGGACAGGAGACAGTCATTTTACAAGTGTTATCTCTCTATTAGTTATCAAATAAAATTTTCAACATTACATTTTATGAGAAATTAATTCTCAGGAACATTAGCTTTTGGAGGACAGTTGTAGTAGATGTATGGCTTTATGTTTAGACAAGGCATCAGCCTATATCTCAGACATTTATGAGCTTTATAATTTTCTGAAAGTTTTTAATGTACATTAAAGTTCATTAAAGAGTAAAAGCTTCACTCCATTTCACAGCTTGTAGTAAAATTTCTGTAGTTCACAGGCTGAACAGACTGAAGTACACAGGTAGAATTCAGCTGCTTAACTTTACATTCCCTGCTATCTTAGCATTTAAAATGTCATACCATCTGTAGGTATCTCTGTATTTCAGCCTGACTTGAGTGGGAGGACTGTTCAGTGTAAAGGAAAGAAGTAATTGTTCATAAGAGATTATTTTCACAAGTTTTTCAGAACATATTTACTACCAATTTCCATCATAATTTTGTCTACTTTTATGAAGAAAAATTTGTCTTAAAATTTATTCCTCATGTTATTCTGTGCAGGTTCCTTCACGTTATTTCCAACCATTTGGATTCGGCCCTCGGGGCTGTGTAGGAAAGTTTATTGCCATGGTAATGATGAAAGCAATTCTGGTGACTCTTCTGAGACGGTGCAGAGTGCAGACAATGAAAGGAAGAGGCCTTAACAACATTCAGAAAAACAATGACTTATCCATGCACCCAATAGAAAGGCAGCCTCTGCTGGAGATGGTCTTCACGCCAAGAAGAAACACAAACAAGAGTCAGGGTGACTAAATGGATCAGCATCAGCATTAAAGTTACAGAGCTTTCTCAGCCACTGCCACTAAGAAATACCCATTATTCCTAGGTAAAGATACAGAGTAAAACATTTTCTTGCCCCTAAATCACTACAGCTTCATATCATGACTTATTCTGCCTGCACAGCAGAACCAGGTTCTGGCCACAACTTCAATGTAATTAAGACTGAAATTACAATTTTTCTGATTAGTGATGTCATGCTATATGCAGGATACTTGGCTACTTTTTAAAACCATCAAGCTCAGATGAAGTTATGATTGCTTTTCAAACAGTGCAAGTTCAGAGGTTTGGGGGTCAACAAAAGAACATGTCCAATATGTTTAATTCCAGAACTATGTGTGTCCCCGTTCCCTCCAACTCCCTAAAGTTGGACCTAGCAGTATTCGACTACTGCAAAAGATCTAATTATCAGATGTTTGAAAACATCTAAATTAATAATATTGAAGTTGATTTTAAGATTATGAAAAAATTCAAAATATTTCAGACATATATAAGAAATGTTTGTATAAGAAGTCAAACATTTTTCTTTACCATGTTTTGCTGTCATATTAAACAGATACCAAAGACTTACAGTGTCAGATAGATTTTACTGATGGTAATAATTTTCAGAGCACTAGGTAATATGACAGTTGAGATAACTGTTCTATGTTTTTAAAACCTACTATCCTGCTACAGAGGATCTATAAACATCTTAGTAATGACCAGCTAAGAATAAGGTAATGAATATGAAACATTACCACTAGTATTAGATGGGGGGTGGGGAAGACCACACTCAGCTCCATCTCCTCTAGTTAACTGTAGAAGTTTCCCACCTCACCTCAGTTTGGTGAAGAAGATCAAATTCTCTTTAAGATGCCTAAGCAGTACCAAATCCTGTTTCAATCCAGTTTAAATTGCTCAGCTCTACTTTAGAAAGTAAGATTTGGAGTTGTTGCCCATGTTCCCACACCACAGCAGGGAGGAAGTCACTCCCTAATTATCCACATAGCTCTATTCCTTCTCCTGAAAGAGCACTGGCCTGTATCCTACTCTCAAGCATCTTGCTTCATGCCCACTGACTTAAAGACGCAGTAGCATAAGAAGAGAAACATTGGTTCAAGAAGTTTTTGAAGGGTTTGTGGGGTTTTTGGGTTTGTTTTTTTTTTAATTAAAGTAAAATGGGCTTAACTCATCTACTCAAGGTAAGATGCAAGTCTCATTGGGTATATGCTCAGAGTTTTGTAGCGGTAAAGGAGAAGAGTTCTGAAGTAACAAGCTGACTTCTAAAAAACAGTTTTAAAGGGGGTTTGCACACACAGATCTTTATTTTAGTTATAAATTAGACTGAGTTTTATACTTGGTCATTTACAGGAAAGCTGCACGACTAACCAAAATCTCTGGTTAAAAATGGAGCTATCTTGAAATCTGTAGACCACTGCTCTTAGGTACAGATCCAGCAGAAGAAGATTCATCCAGTAGCAAATAAAAACTGCATAAAGCCTACACACAGATATGTGTTCCAGCCAAAGATAAAGAATTATGTCAGGCTAGGACTAGTGACAAAAAGGAGCTGTACATCTAGGTCATTTGTCAAAACAGGGTGTCAATTTTCTGCAGTGATTTAAAAAAAAGAAAAAAATCAAACTTGAAAGTAGAATAATTTATCCTAGCTAGGTTACTTTTAAAGCTTTCTCCACAGCATTTGCATGGTACCCAAAAATGACAATAGTGAAGTGCAATCCCATACTATCTGTAAATACAGACACAATTGGGGATTTGAAGATGTGTAAAAACAAGACTTCTATTTTTTAAGTCATGAAGTGATATAGCAGTATGAATCTTTGGAATATCTAATGTAATCTCTATTTCTACACTCTCTGTAGTATTTAAACTAGGAAATTGTTAGAACTGTTGGGAGAATTTAAAAAATGACCACTAAAAATGGTACTTCATCAGACATGTACTTCTTATTTGTATGAGAACTTTAAAAAGGAACCCACTGAAGGGTCTTTTTTCTTGGGAATAAACTACTATTTTGTACACAGTATGCATCTTTGCTTATTTCACACAGAAAACATTTTTTTGTGATAATTTGCTCTCCAATTTTCCATCGCATAATTATAGGTCTCTCCCTGAGTAACATTTTTCGCAAGGTTGGAATTAATACATTACTTCTATCATTCAAATTTTGAAATGATTGCATGAAATCGTGTAGTTATATGGAAAATGCATACTGCTCTGATTTCTTTAATATATTATATATTGTTGAATTTAGAGGCTGGAATTTCAGAAACATGATTACCATAATTATTCGATGAAAGAAAAAGCAGTTTCATTCTTTACTTTTTGTAAACAAGTTTGCAGAATTATTTCCTATTATATTTCAGATATATTATTTCTGATATGCTTTGCATACACTGTTTCTGGTCCTCAGATTTCTACAGTACTTCATTTTGTCCACATTTGGACAACAGACCTGTTAATTAATCTGAGCTGCTGCCCAATCTGAGCTCAGTTCTCCCTATCTTTTTTATGGTTGTTATGCAGTGGTCTAATTGCATGAATAATTGCACAATAAGGTCCATTTCTGCTCCTCACGTATATATATTTGAACTGCACTTGGTGAAGCAGTGTTTCAAAGCTTGCCACGTGGATATAATGAGTTTACATCTTTTCAATGTATATATGCCATTGTACAAAATAGAGCTCCGATTTTAAATGGTGTTTTATTACCAGGTACTATAAAAATTTAAGTGACTTAAAACCACATCAAGTCTACTATCATCAAGTGACTATTCCATTAATGTTCAATACAGCAACATAGACCAAACTTGAAGACTGTGTTTTATACATCACTGTGATTATGGGCTGCTCACAGCACATAAATGTGGATGTCGTTAGAAAATAATAGTCAAATAATAGTTGTATGTACAAAACCAAGTTTTAAATCATGTTTCATCATGTTTTCCCAATCTAAGAATCACAATAAAGTATTTAAATGTATGAGTGTGTATGCATGAACTGATTATTAAAGTATTTGAGAAAAAGATGAAATCTGGGATGTTCTAAACTCAAGTTTCCCACTGATTTCAGAGGATACAGTATTGCAAAGATATTTTTAATAATAGTAAGAAAGCAGAAATAGATTAAGTACTTTAAGTTCATACAATACTGCCTGCCTAGGAATGCACTGTATTAAAGCTTTAAAAGAAGAGAGTAGAGGTAGTTTTTGATGATTCTTAAGATAATGGGGATTTGTGGATATAACAAAAAAGCTTGGCTTGATGATACAAACAAAGGACTCAACTATCTTTCAGCAAAGTATTTAAAGTAATAAAAAAATGAAACCAAGCAAAGAGATAAACTGACTACATAGTTTAAAGCAAGTTTCATCTCTTTTTTTCTACTCATATCATGATGGCATGACAAATTCAGTTTGTATCTGTGTAACTAATTTATTTCAATTTCAAATGAAAGCTTTCACAGTGATAATTCTTGTATTCAGCTAAGTGACAAAAAAATCAGGAGGTAGTAAATAGCACTCAAAAAATAATCACAAGAACTCTAAAATAGCTGCAAATGGATAGATTTTTCAGACAGTAACCTGATCACAAGACACTCCTAATGAAAACATTTCTTTTAGAATTTTACAAGCTCTATTACTAATTTTAAACATTAACAAACAGTTGTCATTTTATTAGATTGTTCACTTTCCACATTCTCCAATACAATACAGTGTTACAGCCTCAGTTAATATCCCATTAAATTAAATTCTTGAGTTTAAAAGAAAATATCTATTGAAAGTTCACAGCAGAAAAGAATGTGTTACTGTTGAATAGAGGGAAACAGTTAATATGTTGGGTCAAATCCGCTCTGGTCTGTGGTGGACTAAATCCTTCTCTAAGATTCTAATTTGCTGCTGACATATTCATTTTTAAATGGCAGCTACCCAGGAGCTGAGAAGTTAAGACTGTTCACATAATCACAGAATGGTAGAGGTTGGAAGGGCCCTTTGGAGACCAACTAGTCCAATACCTCTGCTAAAGCAGGTTCACCTAAATGAGGTTGCACAGGATTGCATCCAGGCAGGTTTTGAACATCTCCAGAGAAAGAGACTCCACAACCTCTCTGGGCAGCCTGTTCCAGTATTTTGTCACTCTCAAAGTAAAGAAGTTTCTCGTCATCTCCAGAGGGAACTTCCTGTACTCCAGTTTGTGCCCATTGCCCTTTGTCCTGTCTCTGGGCACCACTGAAAAGAGTTTGGCCTCATCCTCTTGACACTTACCCTTTAGATATTTATAAGCATTGACAAGATCTCCTCTCAGTCTTGTCTTCTCCAGGCTAAACATACCCTGGAGGACCCTTATGAGGAAAGGCTAGGACTCCTAGCCTTTCCTCATAAGACAGATGCTCTGGTCCCCTAATCATCTTCACAGCACTCCATTGGACCCTCTCCAGTAGTTCCCAGTCTTTCTTGAACTGAGGAGCCCAGAACTGGACACAATATTCCAGATGTGGCCTCACTAGAGCAGAGTAGAAAGGGAGGATAACCTCCCTCAACCTGCCAGTCACACTCTTAATGCACCCTAGGATACCATTGGTCTTTTTGGCCACAAGGACACATTGCTGGGTCACAGTTAACTTGCTGTCCACCAGGACTCCCAGGTCTTTCTCTGCAGAGCTGCTTTCCAGCAGGTCAAATCCCAAACTGTACTGGTGCACGGGATATTCCTCCCTAGGTGCAGGACTCCACACTTGCCTTTGTCGAATTTCAAGTTCCTCTCTGCCCAACTGTCCAGGTCTCACTGAATGGCAGCACAGCCTTCTGGTGTATCAGCCATTCCTCTCAGTTTTGTATCAAGACAAGATTATCTATCTACTATTATTGTAAGCCTTAAACTTTATGAGATCTATTTATAAAAGTGCTGGTTTTGCATACTGTTATAAGTCCAATGTTTTCCAACATAGACCTTTAATTTTGCAACATTTGATTCAACAGATCTACTCTACTGTAGCAATTCCATCCAAATGCATCAATGCATTAAAATCATTGATGATTTTAATCATCCTGAACTGTCTTTTTCAGAATTATGTATTGAGAACTACAGTCACTCAAAAAACCCTACTGCTTCCATAAAGTGAGATGTTACCCTGTTCATATTTTTTGCTCTCATGTCTTCAGTTGCAGATAACTTTATTTAGGTACAAATATAATGGAATAGAGAGTTAACATTGCACTCTGAGCAGGGTCCAGCAGATGGCACACACAGAAAATGTATTAATGCAACAAAAACAGCTTATGTATGATCAAAGTCCCCGTTGCTATACAAAAGCTACAAGTCAATAGACTCCTATGGTGTTATTTATTGTACATTGCTTTAGGAAGAGGTGGAGTCATTCTAGAGTCACTGAAAGTATAGAGCTGGAGAGAAAACTAACTACCAGTGGTGTGGACAGAATTTATTGTCATTATTCCAATTAATACTGGCATTAGAAC